CTCACTTCTCGCGATGCACCCTGTGGCTTGTTGCGATAACTGTTGATGGCTTCTCACTGCACCAGCAACACCCGCCAGCAGCTATGATACAAATGGCAGAAAGAAGTTCATCAGGAGTTCAGCCAGAAGCAAGTGTGGGGCATGCCTGAGACAAAGCTTCAAGCTTTAAACACTTCTCAACTTCCTCCAAAGAGTAGTTCAGAGGACAACTATGACATTTCCCATCCCCTATGGACGCAATTTCTCGCCAACGCCGAGCTGCGCGGATCTGATCTGCTTTCAAGGATACGTTGTCTCCTTCCCAGGACTCCCACCGTGTTGGAAGAGCTTTCGTTTTAACACAACTTGCTCATCAGAATACATAAAACCAAATTGTGACGGACCCAAATCCAATAGTAGAAGCCTTCGTATTACTAGGGAGCGGTCATAAATACAAAAGACTAGGCTAGGGAGGAGAAAGAGGAGCAAGGAACCGGGTTGCCTCGATAGTTCTCTTGTGGGGGAATTCTGCCTGTATTATCCTCTCACCGCCTAACTTCACCTTCCAAGCAAGCGTTGCCACGTGACCACCGAACCTCGCGCCCTTGCCTGCCGCCGTCATACAAATCGTTTTCTCAGATCGTGTCTCAGGGGCGCTGTCCCATCCCAATGGTAGGATATTGTGTTAAATCAAAAATGTAGTGGCGGAACTTACTGGCTGCCTGCAGGCCCTAACCACAGGGGAGACTTGACCGTAAAGACTGGCTGACCATGTGAGTCATTCTAGGATTAGATAATGTTGGAATTTCTCTAGGCTATCCGGATGATTATCCGGATGATAAATCAAGATCTCATGAGAACGAACTCTGGTCATTCCCGCTGCCTAAACTATGGAAATATCGCTCTTCTTATAGACCTCTCGGAGGTCCAATTCTCCTAGTAATTTGATATATTATTTGGAATCATGAGACTGGGAGTGTTTCGGAGCGCTGTACGATTACCTGATTAGGCAATTCCTAAGACAATTCGTGTATGGTGACGGTCTCATGTTCGAATTCTCTGACAGAAGGTCACGGGAAATGATCGACGCGCGCCTCGAAGTGACATTTTTCGCCTTGACGTGGTAGAAACATATCATATTCACAGATCTGACTGCCAACCTCCCGGGAAAGTTCCGGAAGTTAGGCTTATTACAATACCGCTGATGCCCCTAGATAGCGTTGACCTGATCGTCCTACATTTAGGTGACCTTGAAGGGGCATCGCATCGAGAAGGCCCAACACCCATGGCAGATATGGGTTTGGTTAACAATGACGGCGCTGGATAGTATTTCTGGTAGTGCAGTCGCCTCTGATAGCGACAGTACAGTCCAGGTGTCCGATGGGGGTTCTAGGATCGAGGCGATCTCCGCTGTGAAGCAGACGGCTATCCGAACAAGCAGGTGGAATCAGCTCGACCCTAGGATTTGGGCTTATAGCAGTCCAGATTCCATGATTCTATCGACGATTGTCTCCAGCCTCATCTTTTAGTCTCGTCATCCTGTTCTTAAGTCAAATTAATGGCCCATACTGTCATTGACATGAGGGATTGCATGGGACACTGAAGCAGACATGTACATAGAGTAACTGACAGAATTTTGATCACATATTCGACATTTCTAGTTCAACATTGAAGGAAAACTCCTCCGTAGTTGAGATCTGATCTTTCTTCATCTGTCGAGGCGCTTTATACAGTTTTGTCAAAATGCTCCCTCGCGGCGATCATGGCTAATCAGCCGATCAACCCCAAGACGAACAACCCCGTCCGTCCTGAGCACCTCCATCCGCCGACCACTCTTCCCCTCCGACACTGCTCGCACAATGAAGAAGATACTCCGATCGACGAAGTCGAGTGTCTCCTGTCCCTGCTCTGCCCGAACAAGGAGACCATGCGCAACAAGGAACACTACACCCTCGCCACGGCCGACCCGCCGTCGGTGGAAGCGACGACGATGACGACACAAAACAGCGACTCCGCGAACCCGAAGAAGCGGAAACGGACCGAGGACTTGCAGGCGGAGCTGAACAAACACGCCAGCGCTCTCCGAGCCGGGGCGCGCTCCATCCCCGGTGTACCCATCATCTACGTGAAGCGCTCCGTCATGATCCTGGAGCCGATGAGCGTGCCCTCGGAGAAGGTGCGACTCGGGGTGGAGAAGGGCAAGTTCAAGACGGGCGTGGAGGGCGCGCTGAACGCCGCTGGCGGGAAGCGGAAGAGAGAGGAAGACGAGCAGCCGAGGCAGCGCGGCCTCAAGAAGGCCAAGGGACCGAACCCGCTGAGCGTGAAGAAGCCCAAGAAGAGGGAGAAACGGCGACCGGAGGATCAAGGGAGGAAGCAGAAGATGCAGAAGATGAGTGAAAATGCCGAAGGCGGGACGACTGCACATGGGACGGGCTCGGAGGCCGAGTCGACGACGAAGTCGAAGCGGAAGAGACGACACAAGCACTCTAAAACTAAAGGAGATAGTAGGAGTAATAATAGTCCTACTACTGCTGAGACAGCCGGGGCAGAGGGTTCGGCAGCTTCCGCTCCTGATGCCAAGGGTGACGCCGCGGAATGAGCCTGCACGAGCTGGACTCGATTTATCTATCTCATCTGGACGGCGTTATGGTATGCATTTTTGGGCTCGCAGGCAAGGTCGAAGACGAGGTCGCGCACCTCGAGGTCTACGTCTACGAGGACGAGGCCGACAACATCTACGTCCACCACGACATCATGCTCCCCGCCATCCCGCTCTGTCTGGAGTGGTTAGACCTGCCCGTCGGCCGGAGTTCGGAGGGTCGCACGACCGGGAACTTTGTCGCGGTGGGAACGATGGATCCGGATATCGAGATTTGGGACCTGGTCACGGGATCGACGGACAAGCAGGTCAAGCTGTGGAACGTGCAGGACAACAAGCCCAGCATGGTGGTCTCGCGCAAGCTCGACGTGGGCAAGGTCTTCTCGACCACGTTCGCGCCCGACCCAGAGGTGAGCTTCCGGCTGGCGGTGGCGGGCAGTAAGGGAGTGGTTCAGGTGTGGGACACGTCGACCAATGCGGCGGTGCGCCGGACTTTTGCTGGTCGCTTGCCGGCGACGGCGGCCGGAGAGGGTGGCGAAGTGCAGGAGAGGACGGTGGGAGTTGCTGAGGATGACAGTGACTCATCTGATGATGAGGAGGAAGAGGGAGAGGGAGAGGGCGAGCAGGGAGAAGATGGTGCGGATGGAGAGAGAGATGGATGGGAGTCGATGGATGAAGATTGAGAAAAAAAAAAAGAAGACGGGCAAAAAAATGAAAAAATAAAAAGAAAAGGAAAGAAAACATGGTAACAAGGGAGAACAAGTCTGTCACAGGATTACCCCCATTTGCCTGGTCCATTTCCCAATTTATGATGAGATACCCGGTTATGCTGTATATATAAAATAAATATTCCTACTCTCACTCCCTAGGTACCTCAGGTAGCCTTTAGGCAGATATTCATATTCGTACTTATTCATTCCTATCTATGCACATACACAGGTATCTTTCTTGGGTATAAACAAAAAGGGGTATATTCATTCCCTTTTTATCCCCCACTTTCCACGGTGAAACCAGCTGAAACTATATATGCGTCAAGCTGGACTATATACTTCAAACCGACACACCACTCTTTTCCGCACCCACTTTGGCGGCCAATTCCAATCCCTCAATGACCTTCTCGGGCATGCTCAGGAACGGCGAGTGGGATCCCTGGCACCGGAACGTGGTGCAGTTGCTGCCCAGCCTGCTCGCGAACTGCTCCTGCACCGCAATCGGCAGGCCCTGATCCTTCTCGCAGAAGAGATACATGCAGGGCAGGTCGTGCCAGGGTTCGTGCGTGGCGGGCTCCAGGAACGCGGCGGCAGAGATGTGCTTGAGCTTGGCGATCCATTTCTTCTGCTCCTCGGGAGGGAGGTCACTGTAGAAGACGGTCTCCTCTTCAGAGGAATAGGAGTAATCGCCCTGTTTTCTATATCAGTGACGAGAAGCAGAAGCCGTGGGTGTTGAAGAACGAACGTTGAACTTCATCCACGGGAGCCATTGACCTCCCAGCATGTCCTTCAGACTCTTCCCCTTCGGCACGACAAAGGCGGTCATGTAGACCAGCATGATGACACCACCCTTCTGGCCGTTCTGAGCCCGTCGAGCATATTCCAGACCCTCCACGGCTCCAGCACCGACCAGCCCGCCGTACGAGTGGACAATCACGACGATCTGTCGCCCCTCATCGGCCAGGCGCTGGAGCACAGAGTGGACATGGGCAATGTCGCTGTGCAGGCCTTTGGTGGGCGGTTCAGCGCCAACGGACGTCAAGGTCACGGCCTCGGTCTCGAGCCCTCGCTGGGCCATGAGCCCCCGGATGGCATCGAAGGCTTCTGGCAGATGCCAGGCGCCGGGGACGAACACGAAAACGGGTCTGCTGGTGTCAGCCATTGCAGCTCAGATCTTTTGTAATAACAATACAATGGAGCGAAATTGGAGCAGGAACAGGAAGGAGAACAGGTTCAGTACCTGCAAAGAGGAACTGCTGGAGATGCCAACAAAA